GGGTTACTGCGGACCAGGATTTGGGCGAGGTGGTGCTGCTTGCAGAAGGCGAAGGCGGCGGCGTTCCTGCAGGAGTAGGTTAGCGGGACCTGGGTCGAGACACCCCTTGAGACCTTAGCGTCCTTTTTCTCTTCGTTGGGGCTCGCCCCCGACACAGCCGATGCTTGCGTTGACTCACTTATTGGCCGAAACAGTGACCAATAGGTGCCTTTTGTGTGCCAGTCACAATGCCGGGATTTGGGAACCTGGCAAGAACCAGACAGGCTGGGGTTGAGGGCCCGACTTTTGGATAACAGAAGTGAATGCACGCGAATGAATGTCTCATCACAGAAATAAACCATCCACAGGAATTAACTGGACAGAGAAAAAAAAAAAGGGAAGTGGAGGCCCAGGAATTGAAAAACGAGGAAAAGTTTGGGTGGGAAGGAGTAGCTAGTTCTTGCCCTGGGAACTAGTCCGTAAGGCAGGAAAGAGCTGCTAGACTCATTGATTGGCCGCCTCGCGCATCCTCTCCCCCCCCCGCCCCTCACCTGACTGAGCCCACCACCTTGGCATGTGCCCTTGACCAGAACCGAACCTGGGACCCTTCAGTCTGCAGGCCAACGCTCTATCCACTGAGCAAAACCAGCTACAGCTAGGCTCCGCTTTTAAAGCGCTTGGAAGGTGGCGGCTGGAGTAGCAGAGGCCGCTTAAAGATACCAAATTGGGCCATATAAAGATTTGGGATTTTATTCTGCAAGGGACTGAGAACTGTTGCAGGGTGTTAAAGAAAAGGATGGATAGGATTTGCATTGTAACAAGAAACTTCCCTCCTCCCTCGACTTCTATGGGGAAATATTCTAAAGGGCAAGAGAAGCTGTAGAAAACCAGGAAGAGGCCAGGCAGTCGTCCCAGGGAATTACCTGCAAGCTAGTCCTCCTTTGCTGAGCTCCCCCTTTGTCCTATTTCTTCCTCTTCTTCACCTTTATCCTGACTCTTCCTCCTCTTTTTTTTTTCTCTCCCTGATTACAGACCACGGGTATGAAATTGAAGCCTAGTATATATTATTTGTAATCATTTGCTATAAAAACAAAATAGATTGGGCATTTAGAAGCTTGCCAAAGAAAACAATAACCTCCTAAGTTAACATTATTACTACTACTGTTATCATTATTATTGTTTTGTTGTTCTTTATCATAAAAGGGACCCTTGCTTAAAATGTAGGAAAATACAGGACAATGTGGGGAGAAAGGGTTTCACAGACCCATTACCGGAGACTGTCCCATCCCTCCTGGCCTATGCAGCTGATGGCCACAGCTTGAATCCTTCAAATTCAGAAATACATTCTCTGGAATGTGTAGCCCATAGTGAAAGATGTACATTCATCTGGGTGAATCATTTATACAATGGTAACAAATGGTCACACTTTGTTATGATTAAATGTTTATGTAATATATGCAGTAGAGATAAAATTCAGCAAAAGCTCATTATATAGGTCATATATTTTCATTGTCATACAGTTATTGATAGGTTTCTACTTCTATCTGTCTCAATACCTACCTTGCTCAAAAACTATTAGTGAGAGGGCAAATTAATATAATTTCCTTTTGCACAGAACATTGAATATTATGCTCAATAGAACTCTACCTCTAGCCCTAGCTGATTTGGCTCAGTGGCTAGCGCGGTGCCTGAGAACGGAAGGGTCCCAGGTTCAATTCTAGTCAAGGGCATGTATCTAGGTTGCAGGCTCGATCCCCAGCAGTAAGGGTTTTCAGAAGGCAATCAATCGAAGTGAGTTCCTTCCCATCCCTTCCACTCTTTCTAAAAATCAATGGAAAAATATCCTTAGGGGAGGATTAACAAAACAAAAACAAAACAAAAAAGCCTCTACCTTCTAGACATAAAATCACTTCTAATCTACACTTAATCCTGTATACTTTCAAAACATATCTGAATGCACGGCTTTCTCCCTTCCCTACTCTCCTTTATCTTGTCACCTCACCCTTTATCTTTTCACTTCTGGAGAAAGGCAAGATCCTGTCACGTGTCTCCCTATTTTCAATTGTGCCTCCCTGCATTGTTCTTCATGTTCTGCCAAAGAAAATATGATTATGTAATACCTCTGCTTAAATCCCTCCAGTGGCCTACTGCATTTAGAATAATGTCCAGACTCCTTTCAGAGCCTGTGAGACTTCACATGGTCCAGCCCTTGCCAATCTCTGACTCCTTCCCTCACTTCATGAGCCCAGTGTTTTTTTAAACAAGTAGTAAATATAAAGTTGGATCTGTTCACATAAAAAAAACATTCAAACTGCAAAGAATTTTTGTGAGTTTATTTGAGACAAACTGGACAGTTGCCGGGAAGCGATATCTCAACGGATTGGATAGTGCTCCAGAGAATGGCGGTTTCTCATCTATTTTTATACAATGCAATCAGCCCTGACTGGTTTGGCTCAGTGGATAGAGCGTTGGACTGCGGACTGAAGGGTCCCGGGTTCGATTCCGGTCAAGGGCATGTGCCTTGGTTGCGGGCACATTCCCAGTGGGAGGTGTGCAGGAGGCAGCTGATCAATGTTTCTCTCTCATTGATGTTTCTAACTCTCTGTCTCTCTCCCTTCCTCTATGTAAAAAATCAATAAAATGTATTTAAAAAAAAAAATACAATGCAATCAAAGGAAGGGACGTAGGTGAGTTACATGAAATCCACTGATGATAGATTAGAGAGGCAGACGAAAGCAAAATCGAGGTGGGGGGTGGGGGGAGGTGGAAACCCTGGGATTGGATAAAAAGTAAAATGATAAACACATACTTAGGTGGGTGAAGGAACAATTAACATAACAATGAAGGAATTTGATTTGTGGTATCTGTCCTGACGCCCAGGCACATTAGGTTGTGCCCCAAGGGGTCTGGAAAAAGGGACAAGTTACCCAGACATTTCAAAGATATCCTATCTAATAAAAGAGAAACATGGTAATTGGTGTACGCCCGCTACCTTTCCCATTGGCTAATCAGGGAGATATGCAAATTAACTGCCAGCCAACATGGCAGCCGACAGCCAGGCTACTGACATGAACAGGAGGCTTGCCTGCTTCAGTGACGGAGGACCACAACGTTCCC